ACACACACACACACATGTCCAGCCTCCGTGTGATTTCTGTGTGAATGGGTCTTCTTTCTCAAGCTAACCTACCTCACAGGGTTGTTGTGGCAATAAAAAAGGAATAGACTACATGCACAATCCTGTGCTCCTTATAGGGAGGGCAAGATTACAGTCTAATCCACACACTTTTATTCTCAATCAGACTGGGACAATTGGGAATGAATAATTTACAGTGATTGTATCCGTTCTGCAGCACTCCGTTCAGAAAAAAAAAAAATGGAAGTCCAGGAGGGAGTCGTAGAGTAACAAGGATGCTAAAAGGTCTAAAAGATAAACCGAGTGAGAAGAGGCTAAAGGAATTTGCTACGTTTCGTCAAAAAGACATCCCTAAATGTGATAAAGTTAAAAATGGAGATCAACAAATGAGAGCCAATGTGGTGCAATGGTTAGAGTGTCAGACTAGTATCTGGGAGACCTGGGTTCGAATCTATGTTCCCTCTAAGCTGAGTTAGTGTGAGCCAGCTCAAGAGTTTTTTAGCCTCCAGCTCACCCATTTTTGTCTTAGCTCAGGAAGGACGGCTCCAGAGCAAACTGATTCATGCAGTAGCCAAGTCGCTCGCTCACAACTTTAATGCCAGTGGCTTACAAAGTAGAATTTTTGCTCACAAGACGCCACAGTTTAGAGGGAGCATTGGTTTGAATCCCTACTCACTCCACGGGAGCTTCCCAGGTACCTTGAGCCAGTCACACACTCTCAGCCTAACCTACCGCACAGGGTTGTTGTGAGGATAAAAGGGAGGAGAAGAGAACAACGTAAACTGCTTTGGGTCCCCACTGGGGAGAAAGGAGTTATACAAATGAATTAAATAAAATAAATAATAAAGTAATAATCCACTAACCTCCTCTAGGGTTTCAACCAGGGTCCCTTTCTTCCAAGGAACGCCACCCTTCAGAATGAAGTCTATCACTTTAGAATTCTTTAGCATTTCTGCCAAATATTTCACAACTTTGTCCACTGAGTCCACTATCGTCTCCACCTTTTCCAGCTTCTCCCTGTACTGAATGTCATCTTGATGCATTGCTTTCATCAGTTTTAAAACCTCGGAGCACATATTTTGGGTATCCGTCAACAGAGCCCCATCCTCAGCTTTCACACCCCGTTTTGCGCCACTGATTGGATTGGCACATGCTCGGGACACAGTGAGGTTATGAAGCCCTCTCCCCAAGTTGTCAAGCCCTCGGTCGACCTTCTGCAGTTTTCCTGTCACGTCTTCCTGGAAATGTAACAATTTGTCGACTTTTTCATTCAGAAGGTTCAGTTTTTTGTCCATGGTGCTTAAGCCCTTTCCTCCCGCAGCATGAGGCCTAACGCCAAAATCTTCTTCCAGCACCACATTGCCTTCAGACATTTTGCACAGAGAAGGTTAGGTTATTTCCCTGTTACATGGGAGGGCAGCCCTCCGAAAAGTCCATCTCCCTGAGTTGCTTTGGAATAAAAGGAAAATTCTAGAACGTTCTGGGAGGGCGTTGTTGATTAGCCGCTATGTGGAATGCGCGTGTGCGGTTTGGTGGTTATGTATTATCTTGTTTTCTTGCAGTGTGCTCATAATGGCGGTGGTAACTTAGCAGTGGGTTTGAAGAGGGTTTTTTTTCCCACCCCTCTCCCCACCATCCTCCTTGACGTCACAGAACCATTTAAAATTCTTTTCTTAAGAGGCTGATGAAAACCAAGCATCTTAAGAATTGGCAAAGGCCGCAGGGAAGGGGGGAAATGTAGAATTTCGATCAGGTTTTCTACTCAACCGGGATGACCAATGTTGGAAATGACCCCCACATAAAATGTTATCGACTGTTACTAGAGAAACGTATAAAAACCGGGTTTGATATAACGTGAGGAGGAGGACTGAAAGGAGACTCGTGTTCTCACACACAAACGCATACACAATGTTCTCCCCACACACAATTGCTGTGCTCCAGGTTGGCCGGCGGTTGGGATTTAAAAATAGAACGTAACGAGAGTGATACGAAGTACATATCTAGTACCAGCATGCCTTTGTCAACTGAAACAACTCAAACGAAATTCTTTCTTCGGTGCCAAGAGAGCCCCCGTTGTTTTTAAAAAAAAACAACACTCCACAAGATGACATATCAAAATTGTTTCCACAATTAACAGCAAAATAATTAATCCTGCCCTCTTCGAAAAAGGATATGCTGTTCAGACGCTGGGGTTTTCCTTCCAGTTATTTCTGAAGGGCATCGGTGCTAATGATATTTACTGGGGGGGGGGATTGAACATGTGCTCACATGAGCCAAGGTAACATGACTTCAGTACTTCCATGGAGCTTATTCACAAGGATACCATTTCTGTACCACAAATATGAAGGAAGACATCTCTCCCTTTCCCCCCACTTAGAGGGTCTTGTGAAAGACTAGAACACATTTTTAACCTCAGGGATGCAACGATAAATGGCCTTCTCACAACAACAAATCATGCAGCCCACTTTCATGTTTTGTGGTATTTAATCACAAGAACTTGGGGGGGGGGGTGGCTGAATATCAGGAATTTTCCACAAAGTCCAAACAGGCGAATTAGTCGCTTCCAAACATTACAGAAGGAGGGAAATCAGTTGCAGAGGGGACTTTTGGAGCTGCATCCTTCAGGGCAGACCTGCGGCGTGCACTTCAACAACTGAAAGAACGTTTCCCAAGAAATGCTGAGGAACCAATCCGTTTAAAAAACAGGTCAATTGAAGCGTTACCAAAAAAAAGGATGGGCTGAAAGGTGATGCAGAAAAGCACTCACTCAATAAAATAAGTATTAACACCAATCACAGCAACCCATCTGGGAGAAACTTATTTTTAAAAGCAGATATGAAAAGTGAGTGAAATCCAATTTTTTTAAGACTCCGAATTATACGTTTCGCTTTCCTACCTGAGCTCCCACCCACACTGTGAAAAATCTGGTTTAAGATCAAGAGCAAAAAAAATAAATCCTGATCCACAGAAAAATTATACTGAAGTCTCCTTTAGATTCATTTTATCCCCTTCCTACTTGTCTTTCTACTTTCTCCCCTCCCCTTCCATCCCTCCTCTGAATCCTTGTTATAAGAATTTAAGCACCTTAAG